GCAGTTCTTCACAAACTGCTCCAGCATGGGCCTTTTCCTTGGGGTGCAGGCCTTCAGGAATGGACGGTTCCAGCAGGGTCCCCTCTCTGGGGCCACAGGTCCTGCGAGGAGCCTGCTCCGGTGCGGGCTCTCCACAGAGTCACAGCCTCTTTCGGGTGCATCTGCCTGCTGTGGTGTGGGGTCCTCTGCAGGCTGTAGATGGATCTCTGCTTCACCATAAACCTCCATGGGCTGCAGGAGGACAGCCTGCCTCACCATGGTCTTCACCATGCAGTGCAGGGGAATCTCTGCTCTTGCACCTGGAGCACCTTCTCCTCCTTTTTCACTGGCCTTGGTGTCCGCAGAGTTGTTTCTCTCCCATATTCTCAATCCTTTTCTCTCATCTGCTGTTGCACAGTGTTTTTTAATTACCCTTTCTTATATATGTTATCACAAAGGCACCGCCAGCATCACTGATGGGCTCAGCTTTGGTCAGCAGCAAATCTATCTTGGAGACGGCTGGCACTGGCTCTGTCCGACATGGGGCTGCTTCTGGCATCTTGTCACAAAAGTCTCCCCTGCAGCCACTCCCCACTACCAAAACCTTGCTGTGTAAAGTAAATACATCCCTGCTTTTCCAAAATAATGTTCTATAGATTTTGTGATTTTTGTTTTAGTTTTAAAACATTGCAACCTCAGTTTGCATAAAATGTAGTGTATACAATTAATGGCTACTTTCCAGAAGCAGTTTATTCAATCTGATTTATCAGTCTGCTGAAAAAAGCCTGAATGGATGTAATTTCTCTTGAGTTGCCTTACAGCTGTATGTAGCTGCTTTCTTCTGTATCCTCTAGCCGAAGCCTTATCCTTCGCTTCTGCAGGCAGTGCAAGTAATTTCATCCAAATATAAAGCACTCTTTCAAAGTGTGAGAAAATGTAATCTTTGGTTTCTTTTTTTTTATTACCTGTCCCTCCTACCCCACTCGGTTGCTTGTATAAGGGAAACTCTGGGAGATTATTTTTATCATTAAAATGTATTCGGTTCAGTTTCTGGTCATAATACTGACAAGCTTCTCTGCTTTCATTCTAGCCTTTGGACTTTCATCAGACTTGTGCTAAAAAATGTCATAGACAAAACAAACTGACAACACCGTGAAGCTATTGAAAATGTGTATACATAAAGTATTGAAAGCAAGTGGAAGTTGGACTTTTTAAATTTTCAAACTTTCATTTATCCGGATTTTAGCCTGTGGATTTAAAAATTAATTTGAGGAATGTAACTTTGCTGTAGGTACTTCTTCAATTTAATTTTTTTTAAAGTACTTTAGGCATTATGTTCCTCTAGTTTCCTTCACGGTTCAGAAGTTTCCATGTACATTTAATTTGTGCCTCCCACCTAATAAAATTTTTATTGCCTATTGATGACTGTATTATACTGTTCAGTATCAGCTGTTGATTTGAATTTAGAAACATACCAAAATCAGGCTTGATAAATCTTGCTCCTATTTTGACTTAATGTAACATGGTAATTTAATTGGTAATTACGGTTAATTACCTGGTAACTTAATGTTACCCAGCAGAGGTAGACTTTTTCATTCTGCTCCTTTTGTGAAAGGGTCCTCACTGCCAAGGAAGACAATATCTTTATTTTATTTTTCAGATGACTACTTTGGGGAACCTGACACCATCAAGCACTGTGTTTTTCTGTTGTGATATGCAAGAGCGATTCCGGCCTGCAATCAAGTACTTTGGTGATATCATCAGCGTGGGCCAACGACTGGTATGGTTTTTGCTTTTTTTTTTTTCTTGTAATGAGCTTTGATCACACATGTAAATTATTATTTTATAGACAGGCAGTTTACTGGTTTTCCAGTTACAAGTAACAGCAATGTTTTTATATGACTGTTCTTTAATACTTTCTTTTCTTGTATGCCTTCCTCTCTGCCCACTTGCAGCTCCAAGGTGCACGGCTCTTAGGAATTCCAGTTATTGTTACCGAGCAGTATCCCAAAGGTCTTGGCAGCACTGTGCAAGAAATTGATTTAACAGGAGCTAAACTTGTGCTTCCCAAAACAAAATTTTCAATGGTGTTGCCAGAAGTCGAAGCAGCATTAGCAGAGATCCCTGGAGTCCGCAGCATTGTCCTGTTCGGAGTAGAAGTATGTGCCTTGGCATTCTTGTACTGGTTTATAGTAATGTCTGTTGACCCACAGTAGTGTTAAGCATTGCTTTCTGTGATTAAAAAAAAGTAAATTTATATTGCTTAGGGCTCAGATATCCTTTACAGATTAAATTATTCTATGTTATTTGTCTTTGATGTTGGCTCATAATAAAATTTGAAATGAGATATTTGTAAACTACAAGCTCTTCTCTCAAGCTCGGTTGTCATTTTAAACACATGCTGAGTTCCCTAGAAATATCAGCGTAGAAAAATATGTGTTTGAGCCATAATTAATTATGTACTTTAATTTGCCATTATGCTACTCATGTTTTATAATAATGCTTTTTTGATGGGTATTTTGCCTTTGATTTCTCCCCTGTAGACTCATGTCTGCATCCAGCAAACAGCATTGGAATTAATTGGCAGAGGCCTGGAAGTTCATATTGTAGCTGATGCCACCTCATCAAGAAGTATGATGGACAGAATGTTTGCTCTTGAGGTAAGTTTCTTAGTCAGGCTTTTTCCACCTTGCGTCTGTATATTAATTTCCCTGCTCATTGTAAGATAACAAGGAATTTCTAAGGATGGTAAGCAGTGGACTAATGTAGATTTGAGAAGAGGTGAATACTCTGATTCTCAGAATAACTTCCAGGATGGAGAAGTATTACTGTCTTATATTTCCTCCTTAAACTATGGTTTAATATGTGGACATGAATTTTAAAAGTGATTGTTTTGTGCAATCTAGGTTACTCTGTATAACCATTCACATTTGAGGATATTTTCTTAGGGAATGTTATCTGTACAGCAGATTAAAAGTGGTACAGAGCTTTTGGCTTTGTTGTTCCAAACAGCACTTGTTCTGCCGTTGAAATTCCTTGAAATGAAATGGAATATAGTAAGTGATCCTGATCAAAGCTCCTTCTCGAATGTCTCCCTCCCTATGCTCTTCCTCATCAGTGCAAATTAAAGCTTAATCTCAAGACTCTAATGATAATAAAGATTTATTCTCCCCCCTACTCCCAGTTTGGAGCTTAGTCTATCTAATTATCGAGAAAGCAGAAATAAATGTAACAAGGAGATCTAAAAGCACGTACAACTATGTTGTAGGAAATTCATGCAGATGATTTTTTGATAGTGTACTCTAACTTGCCTAAAGGCATCACGGTTGGAAATCAAAAACTGATATATACATTAAGTATTGCCATTTTTGCTTCAGGCCCTAACAATTATTTGGAAATTGAAACTAACAATAACTATGTAATTTTATACTTTTTTTCTTAGATTTGGAGAAGACTTAATTTCTTCTGGTTCTCATGAATAAGAGAATTAAGGGCTAAAGCGAAATCACCAGCATTTAGTGTTTGATGAAACCCATGACTTTGATTAAATGGAAGCTTTATGTCCTTTGTCACGTAAAGGATAGCGACGCACAATGCAGGAATGGCTGAAATCTTGAACTTCCCAAATCAATGTGGTAGCAAAAGAGACAAAAAAAATACAGAAAATCTGAAATCTCTTTGTCATATTGTAGATGTCCTTTTACATTTGATGATCACTTACACTGTGTCTGCAAGCATAGAAGTTGGTTCAGTCTAACAGAGGTTAAAGCTGTGAGTAGCTGGCTTTGCTTTGCTTTCTAGCCAGAGAGGTATCAATCATCTTAAAAGCGTGGTTGGTAACAAAAGCTGCAATCCAAGAAAATCAGTCAGTTTTGGATATCTTTATAGTATGTCTTTGCAATGTTTTCTCACCAAGCACAAAGAAAACATTTTGCTGTCATCATTAAAATACTATTCAGGGAACATTTGCTGGCTTGCTGTGATGAGCCAGCCAGTTATATGGCAGTAACTCCTCCTCTGTGACTCCATGTGCCAACGTTGTCTCTTTTCTGTGCTGTAGAGCCTTTCTTAAAAAGGCAACTGAAGGCTGTGGGCTGGAGCGGGCAAGAGATGGGCATGTTTGGGAGCAAGAGACCATGAAAAGGGACACATGTACTAGACGTGTCAGTAATCCCAATTGACCATGGGGATACATTTCTTAGGGAAATTGGCAAATACCAAAGCATTGGGTAATCCTACTTTAGTCTTGCTGTACAGCTGATGGTTCCTAGTCACACTTTTTTAGTAAGTCTGACATTGATTCTTGTGCAAACTTGCTCCATACTTGGTGAGCTGACGTGAGGTTCATTGATCTGGGTCCCTTGTATGCCTCTCCTTACCTTTCTGTGAAGATGTTTGTAACATTTGTCTTTTCCTATTAACACAGCCCTCCTCTGTTCACTGTGACCTCTCAAGGATGATAAAGACCTTGCAGTGATAACATTCAGCATCCTTAACAACCTCAAATAAATCCTCTCTGGTCCCGTGGACCACAGTCCTCCACATTTTCCCTCATGTAGCTTGTGTTTTGATGACAAGGTGACAAACACGCAGATATGTGAACAGGTGTACTAGGAAGTGCAGTTTGAATTAATTGATAGCCAAAACTTTGGTATCTGCCTGGATCACCCTGAAGAGTTACTGTCTCTGCTTCTGTTGTGCCCTTAAAAATGACAACAGGCAAAAACTTGCAATCAACCCCCTGCCCCTACCCCAGAAACTAAAAAAACTCAAAAATTTCACTGGTGAAATAATTCAACCAAGGTTGAGGCTGTTCTAAGTCTCTACCCTATCTGATGGAGACGCTTGTGTCACTGCTTGGTTTCAGACTGAGCCAGCTTAGTCTGTTCCTGCTGGATTTCTGTTCTGTTCTGCACTTGTTCTACTTGTTCCTGTGGTGTGGATGCAACACATGCTTGCTGCTTTCCTTTGTCTGAAAGACTATATTCCAAGAAAACTTCCTTTCCTTGAATATCATCCAGTATGTTTATCATGTGCATCTCTTCACTTCTATTAATCTCAAAACTATGTAAATTGTACTTAGCCTTAGAAGTAGAGTATAAACCAATGCCAACCTGTTTGACATGTTTTGGTATGTCTTGCTTCTAAGGAGAAGACATTATCTTTTTTTAATCAACATTTCTTGGAAGGCAAGGTTCTTTAACAGTCTTTTTTTTTCTCTCATCCATACTAGTTAAAAACAAAAAACTTTGTATTCTTGGAGAAGAACATCTTGAAAACATTATTGTAATATTTAATTTTGATTTTCCTATTTATCTCTTTTGTATGGAGTTTAAACAAATGTGTCATTGTACGGAGTGGGAGAGCTTGAGAAGCTATCTGCTTTGTTTCAACTTAAGAGTATCGCAAGTCTTGCTGTCATTATTGCAAGCAGAAAGCGTTGACTTGAGTAAATCTAGCCTAGTTAGCTTATCATTGTATAGACTGTGTTACATATACTTTACTGGTCCCTTAAAATTAGTTACTTTTCCCCATCAATTGCTTTGTAATTAAACAACTAAACAGCAGTGATTTGTGTCTGCCCTGGAAAGTTTGGAGCTTCTTTTTCCTTCAGTAATAACAATTGAAACCTGGCTGAAGGCATACGAATCTGTGTTTTCTGCCTCTTACCCTCATTCAGGACCCAATTAGATTTGGTGGAGCATGCAGCTGAGTAGAGACTGATGGAGGGAAAGCTGGATCCATGAAGAGTTCTACTGCCAAAGCATCTGTATGATTGCTTGGAAGCTGATGAGGGGCACTGGGTGGTCAGCACAACAAGTCTTAATAGTCTTAAAAGTCTGAAAATAAGTCCTGTGGCTTGGGCTACATGAAGCATTGCTTTGTTTAGTTGCATGTTTAAAAGATCGAGCAGGCTTTTTTCAGTTTTGCTCTCTATGCAGCGATGCCTTTTATTCTTGTAGCCTGAGAGAGCAACTTGGGAGTTACTGAGGCTGTAATGAGATGTTGGTTAAAAGGCGCTGCTATTGTGCCAGTATGATTTATAAGGCCTGTAGAAGAGCTTTTCGTTCTGTCTCCTGAGATTATTAGTACTAGCACGTGGTGTAGTCCAAAGACTGAACTACTAGTACATAACAAGCCCTGAAATAGAAATTGTTACAATTAAGTTTCTTGCTTAATGCCTTTAGCTTGGGGTTTGCTATTTTATTTTCCCTAGGCCTTTCATATCTGCGTGAGAGTGAAGAAAGCTATCTTTGAGACCATGCAAAGGGAACGGGTTGTTAATATAAGAGGGGATGGGACTTCTGCATATTAAATCTGACGTGGCAAAAGAATCCAGTCCAAGTAGGAAGCCTTATTTGTAATCTAGGGCAGCCTTTTTCCTCAGTGAAGTCTATAAGCAGTCACTTTCCATCCTAGCTTTGTAACAGGCACTGCTAAGAAATGCTGGAATGGCAATACTTTTGTTAACAGAAATTGTTTTTAAAAATACCATCTATTTTTTTTACAAAATGCATATTTATTAACGTTTTCAAGTATCTCACATTATTGTCTCTCTATTCTTTTCTCTTTCAGCGTCTTGCTCGTACTGGAATTATAGTTACTACTAGTGAAGCTATATTGCTGCAGCTGGTAGCTGATAAAGAACATCCAAAATTCAAAGAAATCCAAAATCTCATTAAGGCGAGTGCCCCTGAGTCAGGGCTCCTTTCTAAAGTTTAAAGAGGATGTGGAGGAAATGGATCTCATTGTCATCTTTAAGGTGTATGCCTTCTTTCACTCAATGTTTGATGGAAGTGTAAAATTAAAAATTGACATACTTGTGCTTGCCATAGCAAAATTGTCTGGTTTTACACCTGAGTACCAGTATGTTCTATTTAGTTACAGCTGTCAGAGTCTTTCAGTACTGTAGGACCATTTTGTTGTCAAATTTTCTTATTTATTTAAAAAAAAAAATTCACAAAGGTGCCTGCTAGTCCATACTATATGCCATTTGTAACAGCTCCAGACAGTGCATATTTGTAAATGTGTTCTGTGATATTCTGTTCTACTTTTGTATTAATAGAAAATAATTATATATTGGATAAATACGATGTGATACACTTTAATGTTCTATGTAAATGAAGTATTTTAATAAGGCATAAGCTAAAATCAAGATATATGGACTACATGTGCAGTCCTGTTTCCTTAGCTAAAAACTAAGTGCTTTACTTCAAAGACAAGACACAGATCAAGCAGCATCTGATGTCTGATTGCTTTAGATAGCTGAAACCTGCATCATGACTTTCAATTATTCTGAAACTGACTTCCTAACTCTGTACTTCACTTAAGTGTATGCAAACAAAAAGGAAGTGTTATTTAATGACTTCTTTCTAAAAAAAAAACTAGTGTAAAGTCCTTCATAACTGGCAGAAGATTACCAAAACTTCAAATAATTTGCAATACTAAGGATGTTAGAGAACAAAAGCTTTTCAGCTTTGAGTGCTAAATCTACTACTATATTTAGATTTATCTGGGGATCTTTTACACCATTTTAGTTAGGTTTAATAATTACATCTATATACTCATTTGGCCAATGAACTCTGAAAGAAACCTTGGCTTCTCCAGGTGGTGGTGGTGGTGTTACTGTTTTGGGTTTTGTTTTGTTTGGTGGTTTGAGTTTTTTTAGTTTTATTTGGTGGTTGGTTGGGGTACTTTTTGTGGGCTGCGGTGGAGTTTAAACAGAATCTGGCCTAAAAGCATACTTTAGAAAAATAACATAATTAACTTAATTTTATATATATATATATTTTCTATCTAGACCCAATCTTTTAACATGGTTATTCATAAAGGCACTTCCTTCATGTTCCAGTGGTTTAAACAATGTTGTGTAAAGTTTACAATATAACTGAGACATTTATTTTTTTAAAAGAGTACTAGAAGGTGTCATACTGAACACTGATCTTTTTGGTAGAAAACCAATTACAGTACATGCATTGGTTTAAATTGCTTATTTTCCCCACAAGATGGCTCTAAAATAATTGTTTCAGAGAGTTATAAACTTAATGTGTTCGAAACAAATAATGTTAACATTTGCTGTCTCTCTTACACTTGTGATATTTATTGAAGAGCAAATCCTGAGCTGTGTTTGCTGTGGACCTTATTCTGTTTTGTGCAGCTGTGGAATTTCCATAGATGTCATGGGAATTTTGTGTAAAGATCAAGGGTGGGTAATGTCTAATAATTCTTGTCTTTTGTGTCTAGCTACAGTGTTATTTAGTGCTCCAAAATAAAAGGAATGAATGTTAGGCGTCAAGTTGGAGGCAGGGAGACAAGTTGAGTTAAAGAACCATTGCCCTATATCACTGACCTACTTTTAATCTTCTTTTCTGATATATTAATCATGTTGCCTGGCAGTATAAAGTCTACTTATATAAATCAGCAGCTGTGCACAAAAATACTGTAAGTTTCTTGTGAAATAATCTTATTGCTTTCTTTGCTTTATGTGTTGGTGGTACCTAGAGTTAGTAATTGCAGGAGAAATAGTAACAGGTTTTTTACATATATTTATTTTTGGAACAGTATAAATTTCCTCAATAACAAATATATTTATTTTTAAGGTGTGATTCTATTTATTAGTAGATATATACCATTTTTATACAAACATAAGTTGGATGACAGATATCACAAGTTTCATTGCACACAGTCCTTTCCTAACTAAGGTGTTTAGCATGAGGGGAATCATTTGGTAGCAAAATAACAATGGAAAATAATCTAGTAAATACATTTATTTTTATCTGTGATGATGATCTAACTTGTTTTTTTCCCCATATCTGTGTAACCTTCTGTGGCAAACTAGATTTTTGTCAAGGTGTGTGTTTTGTGTATTCTTCCATAAGCTTAAAAAATTAGAAGGGAATTGCCTAATGTTATGCTATGAAACTGAGCTCTTAGGTGTGAAATTAGGGACAGAATGATTGAAGTCTTACTGCTTCAGATGAGATTCTAAGAGTGTTTATTTTTAAAAATTAGAAAAAGCGTTGCCATATTTCTCTTGCATAAAGTGAGTTTATTCACAAGAGAATTTCTTTTGCTTCTTCATGCTCTAACTCATCTGTCCTCCAACACATGGGTGTTTCTTTGCAGCAGAACAGCAGAACTGAGCTGTGTGAGAAGAGGTGTGCAGGCTGTTGTGTTGTGTAGTGGAAGTACTCTTTTGCCCTGCAAAGATATAACATAAACTAATGAATAGTATGGAGGAGTATTGCTTAGGGGTATACAGAGGTGATCATGAAGAACCCTAATTCATCCCTATCTAGGTGCCAAGCCGTCCTTTAAAGGTGCCACCACAGCTATGGCGAAGCAGCACGACTACCACATGCTGTAAGTGGCTTCAGTGTAGTTTATCTTTCCTTAGGGAAGCAGAAGTGTCCTTGATGGAGAAGGCTGGGTTATTTTCCTTGGCAGGTGTTCTGCTTCTGTTGAAACTTGCTGATGTTTTGTTTGCATCAGTGGAGCAGCTGGTGTAAAAATTCTGCACTACATACAATAGTAGGCATGCGCATGATTAGTTTTTCTCTGCTAAACCCTTACAAAGATGAGTCCTTTTTTTCTTACTAGGACAGTTTAGGTTTTGAGTTTAAAATATGATCCTGTCTATTCACAGAACCACAGTCCTCTATTATTTTTCCATCTGTAGGACAACTTTGTATGAACTAAGACAAGTAAGGTCTCCAGTACCCTTTGCAAAACCTGAAAACAGAATGAATATAAAATCAGCTGTTGCTAGCTAATGTTTTCTATTATCATCATTACAAATGGCTGGAGAAATTATGCTATGGGACTGCTCCGCCATAATTTCTGCACTTGCCTGACAGTAGTTCTCAGATAAATGTGCACTTAAATAAATCATGCTGTTTATTGAGTATATTTCCTATTAGATGTCAGGGTGGTTCTCTCTCCCTTCTACCCCTTCAAATTTATTACATTACGTAAATGTGCATTAATCTTTCAGGAGATAAGAATTAAGATCAATCTTTTCTTTTTACTTGAGCACTCTTGCTTTTTCTTTTAGAAGCCTCATAGATTTTTTTTTGTCAAAGCTACATACTTGTTATCTTATGTAAGAGAAGAAACCTTGATGCTTTGATGCTTTAAAAACTTTTGTTTCAATTAAACATGAATTAATAGCTGGAGCTGTGGAGCCCTGAGGAAAGGCAAATTGTATTAAGGAGGATAAAGACTTTTACTTTGATAAGCAGTGATGCCAACTAGTACTTTCATGTAGTCCACTTGTTATTCTGCAGAGTATTTTCTACCATATTAAGTACTATGGCAGTGACAGAGGATGTCAGTGATTTGTAGAATCTGTGATTTTTTTCCCCTGTGGATAAATTAGAGATAAACTATACTAGATGGGTTTAACAGATGTCCTTCAGATAGGTTTAGAACATCTGCTCTGCAAATGGGCTGGGACAGGAAATCCTTGAAAAAAAAATTCTGTTTTGATTGTCCAGTGCTGGTTTCTTCTTAATAATCTCTGAAATTGAATAGTTTCATGAAGCTGTTGTTAGACCTTTCTGTAATCTCAAGAAGTGCTTCTCGTATATCAGAACTTACAATTGATAGTATGCTGCCACTTCTCTTAAAAGAGAACTGTAGATGTAGATATAGATAAGGTAGAGTGTGGGATCTGGTCTTTCATAACTCATTTGAATTGTATAACTTAGTTCTTCATAGGAGATAAAGGAATATTTGCAAAGGACTGCTGTGAATAGAAGAAATTTATTAAGTATTAGCTTGCTTAGGTCAGCTTAATAGACTTACTGTAACCACCAGGGTTGGCAGCTCTCCTGCCACTGACGGCATTAGGCTTTGCTTTAATGAAACCCTTTTATCTGCTCAAGAGAGAAGATTGAGCAAACAAATGAGCAGTTAATAGAGAATAGGTGGTAAAGTGCAAAGGCAAAAGGGAAAAAACCCTCTTGTTTTCTAATAATTACTGATCTTTTTTTTCCATGCAAATGTTAAGAAGCTGGAACACTTACTAATGCAGAATTATGTACCTTAAGTTTGCAAAACTGAGTAGGTCACAGCAGTCCTTGCTTCAGTCTTGCTGTGTACTTTACTTTCTTCGTGTACTTTTTTTACCTTGTTTTCGTTACCTTGTAACTGTCTAAAAAGCAGACTCTGCGAAGCTTTTTGGCTCCAAGTATCACAGAAATTGCCAACTGGAAGGGTGCTATCTGCTATCAAAATGAAAAATAATCAAAAAGAAAAAAAATTTAAAAAAAATTTGAAAAATTATCAAAAAGAAAATAATTCTGCTATCAAAATGAAAAAGAAGAGGAAGGTGTTGGAGCAATGACTGAAGATCACCATTTACTTGGCTCTGACATCCCCAAGGCAGGTATGACCTGCACTGTAGTTTCAAGAGTAGGAACAAAACCGAGACTGAAGACAAACAAAAAGCTTTCTGAAAACAAAGATATCTCATCATAATTGGAATGACTTTACCTGTCTAGGACATGGATTTTTACAGCTAAAAGATCTTTGTAAACCTGAAGTGAAGCAAGTTAGAGCTGAGTTAGTTAGAGCTGAGTCGGTGCCACTCATCTTGCATCACAGGGAGGAGGCTGAATTGTTAGATTGAGCCAAAATCCATTAGAGGTGGCCTCTCGTTGTGCTGCCACAGGGAAGCAGACTTTCACAGTTAATCTGTCTGAGAATATTGGAACTGTTTTTTGAGAAAGATTTGCTGGTTCAGGTTCACAAAGCTCTTTTTCAATTGAACTTCTGAACCTGATTTAAAATACTGTTCAGAGATCTGGAAAAGCAGATCTCTGGCTACTACACTGTTTCCACAGATCACAAGAACTTATTAAAATTAAGTGTAATGCTACGGTTTTTTTTAAAGTTTTGTTATGT